ATTCATTAAAGCACTTTGCACAGTGCAGGACATGCAGAAGTGCTCAATAAATATTAAAATTCTTAGAAAGAGGAGAACATCGTGCATTTTGAAACAAATTTGAATACAAGTCCAATGGTAACAGAGAATGTGGTATCCATGCCACCGCAATCATTGAAATCAGTTTTTAAAAGGCATAAGCTCCTATGATTCACAGACTTTATAGAAAAACTTATGGGTACCAGAGGGGAACAGGGATAAATCAGGAGCTTGGGATTAACATGTACTATATGCAAAAGAGATAAACAAGGACCTACTGTATAGCCCAAGGAACTAGAGTCACCATCTTCTAATAACCTATAGTGGAAAAGAATCTGAAAAACAATATGTGTGTGTGTGTGTGTGTGTGTGTGTGTGTGTGTGTGTGTATGTTCATATATATATATATAACTGAACCACTTTGCTATACACCTGAAACTAACACAACATTACAAATCAACTATACTTTAATTAAAAAAAACTTAAAAAGCAATCCATGGAACATCTGTTGATATTCTTGCACTCAAGACTCAGTCTGTTTGGCTTGTCCACCACTATTCACCTGAGAGTATGTTTAGCAGACCTTTGCTGAAGTGAAGTTACTATCAATACCTAAAATATTTCCCCCATTGGCTATCACAGTTGATTGCATTTTGATGAATGCATTTTGAATGGAAGAGCTTGAAATTAAGTATCTGCTCATCACCAGAATATCTACCTACATTGTTTAACATTTCTGTGGCTCTCTCGATAAGCCAGAAGAAAAATTCAGACAGCAGTGAGAAGGACCAGTGTATAAATAATATTAAGCTCTAGATGCTCCCTACAGGAAAAAATGTGGCCTGGGATTAGAAAGTATGATCAGAAATCAAAGACCAGAAGAAAATGAAAAAAAGCAAATGAACCTGAATGCTAGAACTGAGAGTATAAACCAAACTGGCCAGGCATCACTTGCATCCATTACTATATGGGCGGTTTAGTAGGAGCAATGCAAATATTTCAAAAGCAGAATGGAGTCCAATCTTTTGGAATGAAGGGAAGATGCTGATGGCCATGTTGCCATGGAGGTTAGTTTTTATATAAAAAATTAATATTAGGTATATTGGTGCTAGGGATCCTTGTTCATATCCCATTGCCAACACGAAAGTCATATTAAATGCAAGTAAAATTCTATCTGGGTTTCCATGGTGGTTCAGTGGTAAAAAATCTGCCTCCCAATGTAGGAGACATGGGTTTAATCCCTGGGCTGGGAAGATCCCCTGGAGAAGGAAATGGCAACCCACTCCAATATTCTTGTCTGGAAAATCCCACGGACAGAGGAGCCTGGTGGGCTACAGTCTACTGGGTCGCCAAAGAGTTGGACATGACTCAGTGATTAAGTGACAGCAACAAAATTTAATCTCCATTTCAATACTTATAAAAGTCTTCCCATTCCAATGAAAAATGGCCAGAGTTAGCCATTATATTAATAGTTACACAGCAGCAGGCAAATTTATGTGTGATCATCCATCCCTCTAAGTGAATGATGAGAAAAGAATTTCATGAGTGGATAAAACGTACTTCAAATATATGGCCAAAATTGCAAATCTGAAAACAAAAATAAGAGTTGTTCACCTTCCAAAACTGCAGCTGTCCTATTTGTTAAATTCGCCCAAATTTAGAATAAAAAAAGGACTTTGCTGATGATCCACACCGACTGTCAGAGCAGCTCTGATCTGCAGTGTGCTCTTCATTCTGTGTTTCTGCTGTGTGTTGGTGGAGGACTGCAACCTGATGGCCCATCAATGAGTAGTGACCTTGGCTGGTCCAGGCTACACGGTCCTGGGAGTGCCGCGTCAGCAGCCCCTCTGTTCTCCTCTTCCTTGTGGCTGTTGGCTGAGTGGTGGTAGGGCTAGCAATTCAGTCTGCTTCTGTGAAGCTGGGCTTTTCTTCTGTGAAGCTAATTGAAACTGCAACATTGGCCTCATTACCATCTTGTAAAACCCCTCTGAACTAACCAGCTCAGACAGCCATGGTTATAGGCTGAAATCAAAGGCAAGACAAGTCAAAAAATTATGGATGGAGAGTTCAGGTCACTTTCCAAATGTCAAAATATATGATTCAAATGCAGGGCATCATTCATTTACATACACCAATATGCTTATCAAATTGACAATGTTTGGAACTTACCATCAGTACAGGCTCCGTTGACAGGGAGGGATGAGCCGAAAGAGATCTGTGGGATGCTTTATTTTGAGCAATCATAATGCCATTCTTCTTTCTAGGGTCACGTTTAAGTCACATGGACAAGCATAATGCCCTCGGGGTGATTTCTTTTTAAGCCTAATGACAGTGAGCCATTGTGTGGTTCATTAGACTGCTCTAGGTTCAACCTGACCGCATTACTAAGATTACCAAAAAATGATCATAAATGGATAAAAGTGTAATACATTTATTATGCTGCATGCCACCTAAATATTTGGAGCTAAATGAATAATTTTCAATTCAGGCACTTCTGTCCCAGAGGACATATTTGGCAACATCTGGAAATATTTTTGATTGCCACAAGTGGAGCAGGGAGGAAGGTTCCACTGTGTATAGGACACAACAGAGAAGCTTTTACCCAAAATGTCAATAGTGCTGAGGTTGAGAAACCCTGATTTAAATAGACACATCATAATGCAGGGATCTGGGATCTGATTAGTTGAGTAGCAGCTGGTCATTTCTGTGGCTGAGGAGGAGAAAATCAGCCTGCTGAAAGAGTATTTGTCAAGTCATTTCAAAGTATCAAGGACACTTGGAAACATATTGTATCTTCTGCCAATGAACTCAAGGATAGGGTAGGAGCAGGGCAGAGAAGGATGTAAACTGTACACACAGAGAGCACTCCATCAAATGACTCAAAAATAGATGTGTTTATTTATAGAAGGAAATGCTGACATAAACTATTGGCAAGACAATTTGTGTGTTAGCCTGTTTGCTTTCATAACATGCAATGACTGCATTGTATATAAGCAATAGGCTTTTCTGATAAGAGACAAATGATAACATCATGTCCCGATCTGCTTAGATAATATAATATATCTTAGAACTTTAATACAAATCTCTTATATTGGCCAAAAATGGATGAGTGGAGTATAATAAATTGTCCTTCAAAGAGACTCCAGTTTACAGGCGAATCTTAAAAAATGATAAAGATAAATCAACAATGAAGAGGTTGATTATTTTAAAAAAAAATTGGATTGTGAGATAATTATTTAGGAATTAGGAAAAAGTTATTATCTCAACTTCTCTTTGTATATCAAAATAAAAGTACAGATGGATTAAAAACAACTAGGAGAAAATTAGATGAATAGTTATCTGCTCTCTGAATGAGAGACAATTTTCCTAAATTTTACTGTGGCAGTAGGAAAACCACAAAGGAAAAACCTCAATAGAATGTCCCTAAAGAGCCTCTTGATGAAAGTGAAAGAGGAGAGTGAAAAAGCTGGCTTAAAATTCAACATTCAGAAAACTAAGATCATGGCATCTGGTCCCACCACTTCATGTCATGGCAAATAGATGGGGGAAATAATGGAAACAGGGACTAACTTTATTTTCCTGGGCTCCAAAATCACTGCAAATGGTGACTGCAGCCATGAAATTAACAGACACTTGCTCCTTGGAAGAAAAGCTATGATAAACCTAGACAGCATATTAAAAAGTAGAGGCATTACTTTGCCAACAAAGGTCCCTCTAGTCAAGGCTATGGTTTTTCCAATAGTCATGTATGGATGTGAGAGTTGGACTATAAAGCAAGCTGAGCGCCAAAGAACTGATGCTTTTGAACTGTGGTGTTGGAGAAGACTCCTGAGAGTCCCTTGGACTGCAAGGAGATCCAACCAGTCCATCCTAAAGGAAATCAGTCCTGAATATTAATTGGAAGGACTGATGCTGAAGCTGAAACTCCAATACTTTGGTCACCTGATGTGAAGAGCTGACTTACTGGAAAAGACCCTGATGCTGGGAAAGACTGAAGGTGGGAGGAGAAGGGGACAACAGAGGATGAGATGGTTGGATGGCATCACTAACATGATGGACATGAGTTTGAGTAAGCTCTGGGAGTTGGTGATGGACAGGGAAACTTGCCATGCTATAGTCCATGGGGTCGCAAAGAGTCAGACATGACTCAGTGACTAAACTGAACTATGTGAGATAATTTTACACTTTTGCTTATTAACCACCCCCCCAAATCAAACCTTGTCAAAATTCAAAAGAAAACCACAGACTCAAGAAGACATTTGTAACACAAATTTTAAAGTGTCACTATTTTTAACTACATAGATTTCATATAAGATCATTTTTAAAAAAGCATCAACCAAATGACAATTGAGCAGAGGACACAAAATTTTAGAAACAAACAAAAAAAAATGCAGGAAAAGATCTCATTTCACTAGAAGTATACATTAAAATAATATACCATTTTCTACTTATCAATTTGCCTTTTTTTTTTAACTTTCAACAGGAAGGAGTGGTTAAAGAGGTTTTCTTATGCTACAGGTGGAATATCTGTTGGTACTACCCTTCTGGAAGATACACAAAAAAGTTCACATTCATAGCTTTGGGCCTACTGAACTCACTTATGAGGATTAGGAGGGGAGAAATCTCAAAATATAGAAAAAACAGTTTTATACACAAAGATGTTCGCTGCAGTGTTATTTAATAAAGAATTTCTGGGAATTCCCTGGCAGTGCAATGGTTAGGACTCTGCATTTCCATTGCAGGAGGCGTGGGTTTTGTTCCTGGCTGGAAAACTAAGATCCTGTGTGCCCCACAGTGGGGCCAAAAAATATTAGTAAAAAAGGAAAGAAAGAAATAATTTCTTCTGAATCTCCTTAACATTCAATAGTTGAACTGATAGCTCATTGTGATGCATCCGCTGATACAGCAAGTATTTTGTGAGAATCTGAAAAGATGTCACAAGGAGTTTTAATAAAACCAGATCCCACTTGTGTCATGAGGTTGAAAACTGGCTTATGGTAGGTCTAGTGGGCTGAATGTCAGTCCTCCAAAAGATACGGCCATGTGCTAGTCCCCAGAACTTGTAGATATTTTCATATATGCAGAAGATGTGCTTAAATGAAGGATCCTGAGAGGAGAGAATACCCTGCGTAGGTGGGCCCTAAATCTAGACACATGTCTCCCTATAAGAAGAGACAGGGGGAGTTTAGACACAGATGCTGAGAAGAGGGCGAGGTGATGTGAAGATGCAAACAAACTGGAATGATGCAGCCTCAAGCCAAGGAATGCGGGCGACCGCCAGCAGCAGAAGCAAACAGCGGAATCCTCCCTAAAGCCTCTGAAGGGAGCACAGTTCTGCGGACACCTGGGTTTTGGATTTCTGACCTCCAGAACTTAGAATACATGTCTGCTATTTTAATCCATCAAATTTATAGTAATTTGTTATAGCAGCCACAGGAAGCTTATCTGGTAAGTTTACATTCAACTTTTCAAGAAACCACCAAATTGTTTCTTAATGTGTCTGTGCCATTGTCTATTTCCACCAGCAGAGTATGGAGACCCAGCTCCCCCACATGCCACCACCACTGGGAACGGTCAGTCTCCTTCACTCGAGCCTTTCTGATCAGAGTACAGTGGTAGCTCACTATGGTTTTAACTTGCATTTCTTGAAGATCTGACTTATTTGAAAGTCCCTGATGCTGGGAAAGATTGAGGGCAGGAGGAAAAGGGGATGGCAGAGGATAAGATGGTTGGATGGCATCACCGACTCAATGGACATGAGTTTGGGTAAACTCGGGGAGTTGGTGATGGACAGGGAGGGCTGGTGTGCTGTGGTCCATGGGGTCACAAAGAGTCGGATATGACTAAGTGACTGAACTGAACGGAAATGAATGACCAATAATGTTAAGTATCTTTTCATGTGGTTATTTGCCATCTATAGATCTTCTCTGGAGAAGTCAATGTTTACAAGTTTTGCCTACTTTTACTTTGGTTTACTTATTCCTTATTCTTATTATTGGGGTTTCTTATTATTGGGTTTTGAGCGTTCTTCATGTATTCTGAATACACCTACCCTAAGGCCCATCTATTCCATTCTAAGGTATTTATCCAAGAAAAATGAAGGTATATATCCACACAAAGATTTGCATACTAATGTTCATAGATGTTTTGTTTGTAAAGGTCAAAAACCAGAAACAACCCAAATGTTCATCAGCTGTTGAATGGATAAACAAATTGTGGTACCCATACAATGGAAAACCACTCAGTGACAAAAATCAATGAACTATTGGAACACACAACAACATGGATTGTGTGCATGCTAAGTCACTTCAGTCATGTCTGACTCTGTGTGACCCCACGGACTGTAGCCCACCAGACTCCTCTGCCCATGGGATTCTCCAGGCAAGAATACCGAACTGGGTTGCCATGGCCTCCTCCAAGGGACCTTCCTGACCCAGGGATTGAACCCACATCTGTTATGTCTCCTGTGTAGATTAGACGTGAATGATTTTTCTGAGTGAAAGAAGACAGACAACAAACATTATCCATACTGTAGGAGTCTACGATTCTAGAAAAGTCAAACTAATCTACAGTGACGGAAAGGAGATCTATGGCTGTCTAGGGATGAGAGAAGTGGGGAGAAGGGATAATTAAAGGAGACAAGAAAACTTTGGGGTGACATCTAAGTTCATCATCTTGACTACAGAGAAGATTTCCAGGTACATACAAGTGTCAAATGTTATCAAACTGTAGACTTTAAATATGTGTAGTTCATGGTATGTCAGTTACACCTTAGGAACACTGTAGAAGAAGTTGCTTATTCCTTCTAAGCCTCAGTTTCTTCATATAAAAGGAGACAGTAATAGATCCCACCTCATAAGGTTACTGTGGGATTAAATTGTGGTAATCTGGCAAAGCACTCTGTTCAGAGTCTCGGATACAATGAGGCAAACAATATTTTTGTAAAAATGGTACAAAAACTTTCATCCTGGTGCAATATATTATATAATATATATTAAAATACTTTATGTTAACATGTTAAAATTAGACTATGCATTAATATATTAGAATATGCTTAGGAAAAAGACTGGAAATAAGTATTCTCAAAGTATAAAATTCTATTTGACTGTGACTGTGGAATTTGGGGTGATTTTATTCTTGCACATTTCCTCTATTTTCTAGGTTCTCTACAATACGTTATGTGTTGTTTTTATCTAGTGAAAAGGTTTATTTAAAAAAAAATACTGTTACTAATCCCCTAACAAAACAAAGCTCCGTGGAACAAATCAGATGGCACGGAGCATATCCGTTTCCTGCTTGTTCGTAGCCCCGGCGCCCCTCTTATCCTCCTTCTGATCACGTCCCTCCCCACTCTGCGGCGTGCTCAGACACACAGATTATGTGCATGCTCTCTTAAACCCCTCGACGACTCCCTGTAAACTTCTAGACAGAGGCTGTTCCCAGCGCAGCTCCTGCCCACCTCTCTGGTCTCGCCTGCCCTGTTCCTCCTCTCTCCATCTCTGCTCCCGCCCCACTGGCTCTTCAGGACCTCCAAGGTCTGTGGTCTGTCCCATCTCCATTGCTTCACACCATTAAATCTCCCCTCCCTTCCTCCTGGTTACTGACCTCAGCTCAACAGGGGAAGTCTTCCCTTGATGTCCCTTTGTTATACTCTCACATGATCCTTTTGGCTAAAATTCAGTGAACTGTTGTTCCAGGGGTCTTCCTAGCTGGCGAGCAATCTGAGCACAGAACCATGTCTGTGCTGTTCAAATCAGTGGCCCCTAAACGTGGCAGAGTTAGCTCAGCTGGTGAAGAATCCACCTGCAATGCAGGAGACCCCAGTTCCGTCCTTGGGTTGGGAAGATCCCCTGGAGGAGGGCATGGCAACCCACTCCAGTGCTCTTGCCTGGAGAGTCCCCTGGACAGAGGAGCCTGGGGGGCTAGAGTCCAGGGGGTCGCGAAGAGTCAGACATGACTAAGCCCAGCACAGTTCAGGCACTTATTGCTGGTGTTAAAAAGGGCGGGTTCAGACTCCCTAGCAAAAGAATCGCGGTGGAGGAGGAAGAACGTTGAATCACGAGGACACACACATCTGCCTTGGGTGAGTCTTTTCTTTCTGGTTTAACAATAAATATTTACAAAACAGGCCTAAACTATCTCCTAGCACACCTCCAGATCTAAATGTGGCTGGGTAAAATTGAGTTCATGTCCCACCGAGTATGAATAATTTCTTGAGTGAATTCATGTGACCCTCATGTTCTGATTGCAACCAGCAAAACAAAACAAAACAAAACAAAAAGCTTGCTAGTATAGAAAAGAAGAGCAATATCACCAACGATCTGCCATTTACTTCTTAGAAATAAAAAAAATCAAAACGATGAGCTTCAGATATTAGCTCCTCTTGAAGTTTTCTTCTACCTACAAATATTCTAACCCTTCGCTCACATCATTCTACAGACAGTAATCACCAGGAAACTCTAAAAACAGGAGTGGCCTTGCTTTTGGTCACTCTTGAATTAAACAGGCACAGTTAGCAGAGTGAACTGGGAAAAAGAAGATGGAAAAGGAATATTTTGGGCCATCTCTGGACCAACCCAAAGATGAAAGATATCACTAGTTGCTCTTTTTTGTTTGTTTGTTTGTTTAAATCTCTGCTTCACATCTACATATGACTTCACCTAACTGGGACCCCTGCTTATTTAACTTATAGGCAGAGTACATCATGAGAAATGCCGGACTGGATGAAGCACAAGCTGGAATCAACATTGCTGGGAGAAATATCAATAACCTCAGATATGCAGATGACACCACCCATATGGCAGAAAACGAAAAGTTAAACAGCCTCTTGATGAAGGTGAAAGAAGAAAGAGCTGGCTTAAAACCCAACATTCAGAAAACTAAAATCATGGCATCTGATCCCATCACTTCATGGCAAATAGATGGGGAAACAGTGGAAACAACGACAGATTTTATTTTCTTGGGCTACAAAATCACTGCAGATGGTGACTGCAGCCATGAAATTAAAAGATGCTTGATCCTTGGAAGAAAAGTTATTACCAACTTAGACAGCATATTAAAAAGCAGACACATTACTTTGCTAACAAAGATCCATCTAGTCAAAGCTATGTTTTTTCCAGTAGTCACGTATGGATGTGAGAGTTGGACTATAAAGCAAGCTGAGCACTAGAAAATTGATGCTTTTGAACTGTGGTGTTGGAAAAGACTCTTGAGTCCCTTGGACTGCAAGGAGATTCAACCAGTCAATCCTAAAGGAAATCAGTCCTGAATATTCATTGGAAGGACTGATGCTGAAGCTGAAACTCCAATACTTTGGGCACCTGATGCAAAGAACTGACTCATCTGAAAAGACCCTGATGCTGGGAAAGATTGAAGGTGGGAGAAGGAGATGACAGAGGATGAGATGGTTGAATGGCATCACCAACTCAATGGACATGAATTTGAGCAAGCTCTGGGAGCTGGTGATGGACAGGGAAGCCTGGCGTGCTGCAAGACAACAACAGGGACCCAGAATTGACCTCAAGTGGAAGAAGCACATGAAGCCACACTTGTCCTGGTGTGGACAAGTACACACCAGGGGTGTATTTGCATTTTCAGGGACATCTCTTATGGCAGGAAGCAGTAATGCACTTGAACAGCAAATAGAAATACTGAATTCCACCAACTCTACCTAGTCATCAGGGTTGAGAGAGAATTCAATGAAGATATTGTAAAAATGAAGCAAAATAATACAGCCATAAACATGCATCTTTATAAAATCTGTTTCCAGGAAGAAAAAGCTGCCTGCAAATTCTTTATCTTGATTTAAGACAGTTAAATAATCACTCCCAGCCTAAGTATGTCAAGTTTACTTTGACAAAGTCAATGTGACAGGAAGTCCAAAGTTAACAGTGAGAACTTATTTGGTATCCTTTTTCCTGTATCTTTCCAAGTATGCTAAATAAACAGCACATATCTGTGTTTTAGAAGCTTGACAACAGGAAAGTAGGTTAGAGTAATTGTGTGATAATTCAGACCAAGAAAATGTTAAATAAATAAAACCTTTTCCTTGGTTATCTAAGCAAAGCTACATTATATAATGTAAAAAAAGAAAACAAATATAGAAACAAGAAACATTGCTGCTCCAGGGTGTGAGTCCATGTATCTAGAAAAATCAGCTTTGAATTTTGTCTTTGAGAATACTCAATCGTGTAGCAGTCATGGAATCTCTGATACTAAACTATTAGTTTTCAAGGAAAAAATGGAATAGTCACACCATTAGTTGTATTCTGGGTACAGATGCATTGTATTTGGAGGGAAGTAAGTAAAAATAAAGATTTCCATGAGTCGTGTGCTATTGATGCCCTTTATACATGGAATCCAAGTTGGTAGAAAGAGTGATTTCCGACAAAACTGTTTGCCAATAAGCGTATCTAAAATAAATGATATCTGCTGAAACCTATTAACAAAAGACTCAAATGTGATCAAGAGCAAAGTGTTCTTCACAGCATTCTTGGAGGACAGCTCTGCATGGGTCTTTCAAGTTTCTGCAGGTCTTACAAGAAGAGATATCGCCTGCCTTGTTGCAGACTAACTTTTTTAGGATGTCTGCGCAGTGAACAGACTTCCAGCATAGAGACGATATCCTGCGTGCCTGTGTGCTAAATCGCTTCAGTTGTGTCTGACTCTTTGCAACCCCATGGACTGTAGTTCGCCAGGCCCCTCTGTCCATGGGATTCTCGAGGCAAGAATACTGGAGTGGGTTTCCATGCCCTTCTCCTGGGTATCTCCCCCACCCAAGGATCATACCCAGGTCTCTCTATCCCTTCTCCAGAGGATCTTCCCAACCCAGGAATCGAAGCCATGTCTCCTATGCTGCTGGCGGATTCTTTACCCGCTGAGCTAAAAAGTTTGAGTTCCTTCAATTCAGGATTCTTTCCAGCAATGCATCTCATTACCAGCGTTACCTGGACCTCTTGTTATATTACAGTGAAGTAAGTGAGAGACAGAAAAAAAAAATTAGTTGTACATTAACAGATATATGTGGAATCACAGAGGACCTTACTTACAAAGCAGAAATAGAGACACAGGCGCAGAGAACAAAGGTATGGACACCAAGAAAGGGGGTGGGGTGGGATGAATCGGGAGGCTGGGATTGACGCACAGACACTGCTGACGCTCCGTGTAAACTAGGAAGCTAATGAGAGCCTCCTGCACAACAGAGACTCTGCGCAGGGCTCCGTGATGACCTGCATGGAAGAGAAATCCAACACAGGGAGGATGTATGTGTACACGCAGCTGACCGACGTTGCTGTATGTCTAAAACTAACTCAGCATTGTAAATCAACTACACAGCAATGTTAGTGAGCTGCCCTTCAAAAGAGAGAGCCTTGTTCGCCCCAGCCTGTCCCCTGTGGGTGAGCTGAGTCCATCACAGTCCAGTGTCTCCTGATGCTTTCCTGGGAACCCTCCCCAGCACTCACGCCACTGAGGACGTTGCTTCCGTCCTCATCCCGCTTCACAAACGCAGACAGGGGGACCCAGAGGGACTGAGTAACTCACCCACGACCACAGGGCTGGGCGAGTGGCCAGAGCAGACCCACACTGACACGGCCTGCCGTCACGCTGGAGGGGCGGTGTGAGTTCTCAAGGCTTAAACTGTTCGTCCCACCGTCCGTTTGCTTCCCTGTTCTCACCCTTGTCCACTTGTCTGACTGTCTCCCAGGAGCTGGCTATTCTTAGAGTCGATGCTACCCTGATCCCTTTCCACGGTCTGCACGTTTGTGTGGACACACACTCACATCCCCCTCAACACACATCTCTGTCCCCCCACCCACCCCTCTATCCTCAGACACATCAAAGATACGCAGATGAAAAAAGAGTCCTCTTTTTCATAAAAAGACCTTATCTAGTGTTGTTACTTGGTTAAGCTACAATTATGAAACTTTTCAAAAAGGCGTTCCTTGTCTTAAAGTTTTATGTATTTAGATTCCCTTCTTCCACTGAACACTGAAGATTTTACTTAGACTGTGTATTTGTCATTCTCTTCGCAGCACATTTTGCAAAGCGGCTTCTTAGCTGACACGATAATATGCTGAAGGAAACCATGGTCAGTTTAGAGACTTCCCAGGCAGTCCAGTGGTTAGGACTCTGTGCTTCCACTGCAGGGGGCCTGGGTTTGATTCCTGGTCAGGGGAACTAAGACCCTGCAAGCCACACGGTAGAACCAAAGAAGAAAATACTGCCAGTTTAAAAAATTGTCCAAATTTGCCTTGCATTGATTCCCTAACTTTAGCACCCACACACACATCACAGAGGACCCTTGTGAAAAGGCAGATCCCTGGGTCTTATCCTCCAAAGAATTTGACTTAGAAAGTCTTAGATGGAGAACAGTAATCTATACTTTAAGCATGCTCACTAGGCAAGCCTGAAACAAATATTTTGTGACCCACACCCTGAGAAATCAAGAGAAACTCCATGTATTTCACTTCCATAGAGCAATGCTCTAAATTTTCGAGAATCTTCTTAGCCAACTTCTGGGACTACTCTCCTCTCATAGATACAACAAAGTTAACACTGACAGAAATGCTTGCTCAGTCATCCAACAAATACTGCTTTAAAGTCTACATTCAGCTAGGGCTGGTCAGTAGCTAACAGATGGGACCTGATCCCCTCCCCCGCACACCCAGTGCCCACGACAGACACCGTTTATCAACACAGCACTCTGTCCGCTGAGCGGGACCCATGTCTGTGAAGCCATTCCCCTTGTCAGTTGCAAGGCAGTTCCCAGGATGTGGCCGTCAGGTCTGGACCACAGGGCATCAGAATAGAAAGCCGAAGAGTCAAATCATGATTGAGAAGCAGGAGGTGAATTTAGAGCTCCTCGCTTCTCCCCGCTGACAAACACACTGCACACCTTTCCTAGCCTGAAGGCAGGCTCGGTGTCATCAAGAAACCCCGGAAGGCTACTGGAAACAGAGCCCGAGGTCCACGGACAGGGTGAGACAGCCAGTGTGCTCAGGGGGGCCCCAGAGCACTGGGGCGAAGGGTCCTTCCTCCTCTCGTCTCCTTCCTCCCACGTGCTTAAGAGCCTCCCCCCACCCCCAAGTGAAAAGCCCACTAGAGCGTCCAGCCCTAGGCATAAAAAAAGAATTCCACTTAGGGTGCTGATTACCATGGAACCTTTTAGGTCAAAGTTGTAAGAGCCGCCTCCTTCGATTCATCTTGAGACTCTGAGAAGTCAAATGACTTACCCAAGTGTACTTACTGAGAGCCAAGAGTAGAATTCAGGCCTCTGGACTCCTACTTGACTGCTATTCATAGATTAAAGAAGCCTGATGCAATGAGCTTCTAAAAATAACACTGCCTAGTCCCATGTCTAGTCATTCCAGACATCATATCTTGATCATGTTTACCTATCACAGCTTCTATCTTTGAGAATCTTTTATTAGGTCAGGCTCAACCAGAAATAAGTTGGTAAGTTTTACAGATAATGATTCTACATTATTGTACACTTTAATCATAGCTTATTTCTGCAGAGGTGGAAAGTCACCTCATAATAACAAACTGGTGAGAAGAAGGTTTTTGTTTGTCTGTTTTTAATCTCAACAGCACGGAGAGCTGGCTTCAGACACACCTGGCCTGGGACCCCAGCTCCTCCCAGAGGCGGGATCTACTGCAAATGACTTCACCTTCCTGAGAATCTGACTCCTTATCTGTGACAGGAAGAACTTCTTTACCTCTGAGAAATGCTCTGGAGGTGAAAGTGATTAGCAGGCTTAACAGTGACTGGATGCGTGCCCGGCACACAGTCCGCGCCCATAGGTATTAATGTCTCTCTCTTTTCCTCTGCTTCATCCGAGTCACCTTGGAGAAATAAGGTAGGCTAGTCTCTCTAGCCTTTCTCTCTCCCGAGTGTCTCCCAGGTCTGGCTACCTTCATGAGGTCCGGTAGAACATGAAAAGGAGAGTCACATGTTCCAAAATTATTAGGAATTTTGAGAGCGCGCCAGCAGAGGGGTAGGCGGAGCGCGGGGCAGCTCTGAGCGGGGGCGTGAGCGCTGGCCCGGTCCCAGGCCTACGCCGTCAGTCTGGGTACCAGACTCTCTCTGCGCTGGGTCTTCTCGCGTCCACTCTCTGGTCTTGGAGAGCTGGTCCTGGGGTCCCCGGTGGGCATGGGGGAGTGCACACGGGCTAGGAGTTTATGGGGCTCAAGTTCTGGCTCCAGAACTTGCTCTTACATCACCCATCTCTCTAAGGCTGGTTCCTCTGCTGGGAATGGGTCTAACGATGCGTGGGCCGTGGAGGGCCCGGGTGAGGGACGGATGAGGTGCAAGCTGGGGAGAGCACCCACCCCCCCAGCCCTGAGGACGCACAGGTCGGCCGATGTCACAACGTCTTTCTTGCCCTTGAACCTCTTCCGGGTCTTCAGGCTTTGTGACTCCAATGGAGTCATGTCCCCCTGGAGGGGCCACTCAGAGCCCGGCCCCAGCACCCGTGCCAAAGAGTAAAAAGGCCACAAAATGGGCAGAATCCGCATTCTCACTGGTTTTACTGGACCACTCAGAATGAACTTTACCGACAACACACAGTGATGCTGACACTATTCACAAAATCAAAGAAAGAAAACTGTCTGAAGCTTGTGGCAATGATACGGTGCATCCTTTTCCCACTATTATTGCATGTGATGCCTCCTTTCCTATACACTGTCTACGGACCACAGGTTACCGTCCCCATTTTATCGAACCGAAGCGTCTTTTTTTCAATAAAATTTAATGATTTCCCCGCTAATGAGAAATGCAAATCAAAACTACAGGGAGATAACACCTCACACTGGTCAGAATGGCTTGCATCAAAAAATCCACAAACAACACATGCTGGAGAGGGTTTGGTGAGAAGGGACCCCTCCTGCATGGAGGGGGGGGGGGATGTAAATTGGTGCAGCCACAGTATGGAGGCTCCTTAGGTTAAAAAACAGAGCTACCAAATGACCCTGCAATCCCACTGCGAGGTGTATATCCAGAAAAAAACACGGCCTGAGATACATGCACCCAATGTTCATTGCAGCACTGTTTACAGTGGCCAGGGCGTGGAAACAATCTACATGTCCATCGACGAACGGATGGATAAAGATGTGGCACGTGTATACAACGGAATATTCCTCAGCCATTAAAAAGAAGGAAATATCATATGACATCCCTTATATGTGGACTCTAAAAGGAAACAAAACGAGCTTACAAAACAGAGAGAGACTCACAGACTGAGAAAACGAACTCATGGTTGCCTGGGGGAAGGGATCGTTAAGGACGTGGGGAAGGTCATGTGCACACTGCTGTATTTAAAGTGGATGACCAACAAAGACCTATTGTAGGGCACAGGGAACTCTGCTCAATGTTCTGCGGCAGCCTGGATGGGACAGGGGTCTGGGGGAGAGTGGATACACGTAGATGTGGGTGAGTCTCTTCACTGTTCACCTGGAACTAGCACAACACTGTTCATCGGCTAAACCCCAATACAAAGTGTTTTTGGTGTTAAAAAAAATAAAAATAAGATTTAAAAAATTTGGCGATTTTCCTGAAGACGTGTGCTTCTCTGATTCTCTCCTTATCTGATTCCTAGTCCGGTGCTCCTTCTCCCCCATCAATAAAAATACAGTCAAAGCAGCACTGAGGGGTCTGTCCCTTCTCCTCCTGAGGACGACGTCTCACTGCTTCAACTCACAATGATTGTAACAACGGTTTCATGTGGTTTCCATAAAAAAGGGAAAAGCAACTTGGTAGTAATAACTCATTTAACATTTAAGTATCTTTGGGGAGCTTGGCAAATTTCGTAAAGCTTGAAATTCTATCCATCTGCAATTGTTCACGAAGCCTAAGCACTATGTTAGCATTATTTCCCTAAAAAGTGGACATTTAGGAAACTTGGTGGCATGGATGGATAATTGCCCACAGTCAAAGAGCCATGAGTGAGGAATTAGGACCATCTGAATTAAGGACACAGATTTGATCTGTGCAGTAGTTATGCAAGAGTTGCCATTTTTCCAATTTTGTTCTGGGGTAGAGCAGTGGGCTTAAGCTATGCCAGGCCTGCAGGGCCGACCTTCGAACTTCACAGGAGAAACAAACCTCTGCTTACTTCACCGTTACTGGGGCTTCCGAGACAACTGCAGCTAACCCCGAAACGGCCACTCTCCTGCATCTCCTCCCCAGGTGCAAACTTAGATTTCCTGCTTTTTTATGACAAAACAGGAGCTGCAAGATGGATAGGCATGAATTCACCACTCTTTTAGCTGGAATTTTTGCATCTTTGGCCGCCCTTGAACTTCTGGGACATGCCCATGCTGGTGGGTCCTACTCAGAAGTTAAGACCTCACATCTCACCCTCTTCCAGAATGCAACAGGGAAGGCGTGGTAGAGGAGGCAGTCTGCAGAGATGGCCACCAATGCTTTCCTCCCGATAGCACGTGCCATTGCCTTGCTGAAGGTAGGATGCCATTCTCTTCCTTTGGACACTTGGGGCAGCCTTGTAACTTGCTTCGCCCAGTAAAATGTGGAAGAAGAGATGTGCTGGGTCCCAGGACTTCTTGTTATTGTTCAGTCCTAGGTCCTGTCTGACTCTTTGCCACCCCATGGACTGCAGCACACCAGGCTTCCCTGTCCTCCACCATCTCCCGGAGTTTGCGCAAACTCATGTCCACCGAGTCGGTGACGCTACCTAACCACCTCCTCCTCTGCCACCCCCTTCTCTTTGGACTTCTTTGCTCAAGACTTAAGAGGACTGGAAGCTTCTGCTTCTTCCTTCTTGGAAGCCTGCTCCCAAGGGAGAATTCTGAGTCCCGTCCACCATCCACTGTGAGAACACCCATCCCAGCTTGTGTGGCAAGGTCTCAGGAGAAACACCAGCTCAGCCAGAGTTGAGTAAAAGCTTCTTGGAGCTTCCAGCCCAGCCCAGCCACAGGCTGAGTGAGTGACCCCCGACCGATGCCAAATGGAGCAAAAGAATCATCCGGCCAACCCTACTCGAAGCCCACCCACAGAACTGTGAGAAATGGCAAGTCCCTCTTCTCTGAAGCCACTGAGGTGCAGGGTGGTTTGTATAAAGCAGTAAGTGACTGAGCTGGGGAGGGTCGCCTGCCATAGAAGTGAGGACTCTCAGGAAGGAAAGAAAGGGAGGGTGGATGAGAAAAACCTGCTCTGTTAACAGTTGGCCTGATTCCACTGTGAGTTTTGAAAAGGGTGGCTCAACAACCATTATTTCCAGGCAGATGTAAATTCTGTGTCCCCAAGAATTTAGCCCACAAGACACATTTGGAACACAACATATTGAGGGTGGAGCCTATTCAGACACTTCAGCCGCCCGTTGCTGACCTCCAAGTATCAACGTCATCCACGTGTCAGACTCTCGCTTTGGGTGTAAGGCAGACGTTCAACAGCGCCTTAGCCCCAGCCTTTACAAAGTGGTACGTCACAATGCTACATAACGGAGCAGCCCCTGAAACTAACACAACACTGTAGATGAACTATACTCTGACATAAGATAATTCTTTGAAAAAGAATGAACACCCAGGTATATAGGGCCTACTCCAAGAAAACTTTTATTTACTTCACCACAAACGGTTCTCAGAGGAAAATTCTCTGCCCTAATCCAGCAGAAGACAACATTTTTAAATAGAGACATTTTGTAAAATGCTTTCCAGGGATACTTTAAGCCTGTCAGTGGAGACTCATTGTACTAAAACTACATGCTTGGTGACTGAGGATTTTCAAAGTATGTATAGTTCGGTTAATTGAAGACAGAGGGCTTCAGCATTTTAATTTCTGAAATACAGGATTAGCATGGTGGCTTGGAAGCGTGGTGGCAGCAGTGATCTCAGCTCTAGCCAACTGCTAGAAGCACTTGGAGTCCTTCCAGTCCAAGACCCAGAGGTTTGACCTAATTGTTCTGGGCTTTTTTTTTTTTAATGCTCCCTAAGGGATTCTGATGTCCAGCTATGACTGAGAACATGGTTGAAATAGCTCAGGCTTTGGGGTACTTCTTAGAAATGCACATTTTTGGCCCCCATCCACACCTCCTGAACCAGAAAGTAGACCTCAGGAGCACCGCTGTGCTATGATACAAATTAAAAGGGCCAACCGATTCTCTGTCCCCTCGCTGTACCTCAAACCTCATTAAATGTTCATAAATCTAGAAGCCCTTCTTACACTCATTAAAGTAACATTTTTTACAGGATTATAAAAATCTGGTAGCAAAATTTTTAACAAATCAAAAGTATTATTTCATTTCCGATTTTTAATTCATTTTTTGTTTTAACACAAAGGAAAAGCATAAAGAATAAAAATACACTACTACTTTGAAATAACATTATTGTTTTGATATTAGCTTGCTTTTCACATAAAGGACTGTATTGTACACATTGTTTTATAACCTTCTTAACCTGCATGTCACTTAACACATCCTTTCTATCCTACTGTATTACTAAATATTTTCAGACATATTTAGAGCTGCCTTTTCTCTATCATGCTGTTGTTGTGCCCAGCCGCTCAGCTGTGTCTGACTCTTTGCAACCCCACGGACTGTAGCCCGCCAGGCTCCTCTGTCCATGGGATTCTCCAGGCAAGAGTACTGGAGCAGGTTGCCATTCCTTTCTCCAGCAAATCTGCCTGACCCAGGGATGGAACCCTTGTAGCCTGCATTGCAGGCAGATTCTTAACCATCTGAGCCACCAGGGAAGCCCCACTGAATCAGGATATACATGCGATGGTTAATCTTCCATGTCATTTTGGCTGGGCCATGGCACCTGGATATCTGGCCAAACATGTCTCTAGATGTTTCTTTCAAGGTGCCTTTTGGATGAGGTTTACATTTAAATTGATGGGCTTTGAATAAGGCAGATTACCCACGGTAATGTAGGTGGACCTTGTCAGATCAGCTGATAGCATTAATGAACAAAGAGTCACCTCACTGAGGAAGAAGG